GTGTGTGTGTGTGTGTGTGCGTGTGTGTGTGTGTGTGTGTGTCTTCAGTGTTTGTCGTGTGGGGATGCAACAAACAGAATTTTAATTATTGCAGAACTGGCACATGCAAACACTCCTCTGCTTGCAGATAACCACCTATCCTCTGTTGTCTATCTATTCTGCAATTACACCCCCACACAGATTGGCATCAGTATGACTATTAGAGTTTCTGGAATCATTATTGTATAACTTTGTGCGATTTACAAAAAGTTTTTCCATCAGTTTTAAGCCATTTGTCTCGACAGTATTCAGTAAATACCTGTGACTGCCACTGACATGAAAGGTTGTGACTTTTTCCCACTGAGGTCCAATTGGAACAATGCCCAGGTCACCTTTATAAAGATGTTAATTCTAACCTTAGGTGAGGGGATGAAAGAGGTCAGGCTCGAGCAGCTCCCTGACGGGACGCCCTGCATCACAACATCTGTGACCCTTTGCCCTCTAGTGGTGAACAACTTCATCAGGCAGAAATGGGAAAAACATCCCACAACTGCAGATTCAGAGGTTGACTGACTGTGTGGGCACCAGAGGTGTCAGACAGAGCAAACTGCAGGAGGCGGGTAGACGTGCACCTGAGGGACGGCTGGGAGATGTAGTTGTTTGTGTAACTTTTGATGTTTTCATTTGCTGTTTAGAACCTGTCAAAATAGTAAGGGCCCAGCTTACAGTTCAAACAGGGGCAACAAATAACAATTTGTAAATTCAAATTAAATTCATTGCAATCAGAGGAATAGACTTTAATGCTTAGATCCCATCAGGAAGTAGTGATGAGGAATGCAGCATGAGGGTGGGACGCCTCAGGAAGGCTTCTGATTGGACGGTTTAAGGGACATGACCTGGTATCCAGAGTTGAGGTGGTGCAGGGGTGGAGGTGGGTCACTGAACTGACAGCTGAATGACGGGAGGGAGAGAGATTAATTTAAACTTTGACAGCTTACAGGTGATTGGCTCTAGGAGAGCGCGTCAGGTTGTGATTGGATGAAAAGGGAGAACGAGCCAGTGGAGAACAGAGGGGGTGTGAACGGTGCATGTGACTTAGGTGGTTTATGCTTTAGTGTAGTTGTTTTAGAATAAATGGCCAATAATCTAAAGGAGTTGATTTAATAAATGAATCATTTGAACTGGACACTCCACTTTAATCCAAACAATATTTACTGAAGTAATTTAAAAAGAAATGGAGCCCATATTAATAAATACTGCATATTGGACTACTGGGTAAATAGGCCACATTTTTACTAATATCTCACACTCTCTTCTTTTATCAGTCTGAATTGGCTGCACTTTGTAGTCCTCAATTGATGGACAGAAATAGTCTCTGAATACAAAAGCTCTTTTTTTGGCTCTGCTGGTGTAATTCCTCTCGGATAAGAGATGTCCTTGATCTTGGCAGCTGATATTTAACCTAATCCCCGACCAAAAGAACTGATCGTGGCCGTCCTTCACAATATCTGAAGCTGCACAGTGTGAGTTCACTGCAGAAAGAGAAATTGTGCTTTGTCTATTTTCAAGACGATAGATCATATGTAGATGTTTTAATGGGGGGTTATTTTGAACATGACATTATGCAGGAAACTCAGAATTTTGGCATCTAAAGCTGCACTGAAACACACACCTCAAAGCAGAGGGCAGCTGGGCCAGATTGTCAACAATCAAGGCAGCACAGCAGTGGTGTTAATATCCTTTTGATCCCTGCACCTAATCCCACTAGATTCTTTGCTGAGATTAATTTTTAAGTCATAATGCAGAGTTTTGTCTTCCTCCGGGTCCAAATCCTCTTTTGTCAGATTGTACATGTGAATGGCTTTGTGGGAGGTAGTGCTTGGGTAAATGCTTAGTGGGATGGAAGCAGGACACCTGTGGTATTTAAATGATTGCATTTCGGTTTTTATTGTATTTTCTCCCACACACACACAAACACAGAAACTTGTATGCAGGCTCAACTTTAGTTATTTCCTTTCTGCCGTGTCAGCTTAAACCACGTTGTGTAGTAAAGATACGGAGATCCAAGTAGCACTCTGCTGTTTCTTAATACCACCTGAGCCCTTTCACTGCAACACACAGATAAAACGCTGGCCCCTATATATTCATTTTGCTAGAAACAAGCCCAGCAAATGAACAGACTTGTATATTGTTATTATTCTGGACAGGCACAAAATAGACCCACTTGCACAAACAAGGCGATATGAACTGTGTCGCCGTGCAGCCTCGGCGAGGACCCCTGGACACTGCTGGAAAAAATGAGAGCCAGCCACCACCTGGCTTTCAAGATAAAGGCTTTATTGAATTGAGCACACACATCAAATAGAGCACAGCGGCAGCGCCTGTGTAGTAGCTTTGCAAAGCGAACGCATCCTCGTCCCCCTTCTGGCGCTTAATATGTTCGTGTCTATTGCCTGGCTGCCTGTAGCAAATATAACAATGGCATTTAGGGACTTAATCTCAGAGTAGTTCAACCGGACACTGAATGTTGTTTTACTTTATACTCTTTGTTTCTCTGTTTGCATGGTTATTTGAAGCAGCCCGTCACTGAGACGGAACTGAACAATGTACTGCAGTGTCCTGGTTGATTTTGTCTCTTTTAAAACTGATGATATCCATTAACAAGTTCCAATACATTTCATTTGTCTTAATTAATGAATGAGACATTATGCTGCAGCACATCACCACACCATAATTAAAGAGTTTGACTTTCTTCTCCTCTTGCAGCCTACCTCTGCGTTTCTGGGTGAATGTGATCAAAAACCCCCAGTTTGTGTTTGACATCCACAAGAGCAGCATCACAGACGCCTGCCTGTCCGTGGTGGCACAGACCTTCATGGACTCCTGCTCCACCTCAGAACACCGCCTTGGGAAGGACTCGCCCTCCAACAAGCTGCTTTACGCCAAGGACATCCCCAGCTACAAGAGCTGGGTGGAGAGGTAAGCTGCGGATGAAAGTGCACATCACACGTTGGATGGATGAAGAGAGGAAATGTATGTGTGTGTGTGTGTGGGGGGGGGTGCAGGTGAAAACATCAGAAAACCTGCATTAACCATGTTTTAGTCCAACACACACACACTGTGATCTACGGGCCATTAAACACAATCCAAATTACAACACAGTAGGAATGGATGAGAGCGCCCAGGGCACGAGATCTACAGTAGAGAGTTTGTGCGGCAGAACGATGCAGACGTGTGTGTGAGGCGAGAAAAAAAGAGTATTTTTGAGAGTAGCAGGAAGCAGAAGCCGGTAATTTGTTAAAATGAGAGTTATATTAAATTTATTTGTCATCAGGGGAGGCGAGTCTCCCCTGTCCTGAATAAAAGATGGGGCAGTGTGAAGCGGTTCGGGGTATTTATGTGTGTGTAGCTTCGTCACAAGGCGAGCCTCAGGATGAGAATATATATGTGCCGCTTGACTGGGTAGAATCAAATGAGCAGCTTCAGGCTCAGGAGCGCACTCATTAGTCCTGTTTGTCTGCATGTGGTCGCTCATAAAGACAAATAAGCGTGAGCACATTGTGAGGGTCCTCTGCTGATTCATGCATCTGGATAGCGTAAGCAGAAAATGATTTGTGAGGACAGAGAATACAGCGACTTCTATTGTACAGTGCAGCATAAGCAGAAATGTTAGAAAGGGCACAAGTACATACTTCAAGAGGATTTACAGGCAAAGAGGCGATGATATTAAGGATGAGAACAGATATGTTTAAACAAATAATTTATTATATCACATTCAAAATTAATCACTTTGTATATATTTTAACTTTGCGAGACAAGAGAACAGTGGGGACAGGCCAGTTAACAGAGGCACAAAGCAGAGTATGTAGTTGTGTTTATATGTACATATTTAAATGCTAATAACAATAATGATAATTGAATTTGGTGCAGAGCATAAAGTGAAACATCCCAGACAATATGATGATGATAATAATAGTAATAATAATAATCACAGTAATGTTTGTTTTGGTTTAAGTCACTGTCCATTACATTGACACTTTAGTGCAGTAAAACCCAGAACAGCAAGAATCAAGTACAATTTGCTTCAAAAAAGCCAAACTGCAACATGTAAGACAGAATTTATTTACTATTTTGAATTGCTTATTTGACATCGTCTTCTTAACCAAGGTGAGATCAGAAGCGATGTTCCAACATTTAGGAGCCAGGACAGCAAACAGTCTTGATTTTGTTGAGCGGCTAGTTGTCCCGGCCACGTGTTAGATCCCAGTACAGGGGTTCCTGATCAGCTCTGCGTTATAAGGGTCAGACTTTCAGGCTCTAAGGGATTTTACCTTAATAGAGTTTCTGTAACTTATTTTAGCTGATGCGAGAAGACATATCCTGCCCCTAACTGCCTTCATCCGAACCTCTACCCTCCAGCCACGCCCCTTTACAGCAGCTCTCCTCTCGTGATCAGTGCACAGAAAGGAAACTATAGTTGTGACTTGGATGAAGATTAGTTCACATTTTTCTCACCAATTAATGCAAAAAACAGGTCATTTTAAAGGGCTCAAACTTTTTTAATGCCACGGTATCCATGCAGGTAGCAAAAAACAGACTGGGGGTCACTTTGAGTTGCAGTGAGAGATGATGTACAGCTGTGGCCATTACAAATCTATCTGTCCTGTCATACACAAGCAACAGATGAAATGAACAGCTCGTAAATAACTGTTACTTATCTTAGCGACATAAACAACTAAGACACAAGGACACAGCAGCCAGACTAAGGTTGACTTCATGTGGAAATAAGGTTGAAAACCATTCTCTTTTTATATAACGTCTCAAGCACACCTGGTGTGTACACTAACAATCCCCTGCTAGCAGCTCCCTGTACATCTGCCCTGCAGCACTGAACAGGTGTTGATGTGTGTGTGACCTCTGTGCAAAAGCTACGAGCTGCACCCACCTGCCTTTTCCTTTGCTCTGAAGACTCCTGGCAAATATGGTCTCTCACACGCCCACAGTTATCCAGCAAACACCAGGCTGTCCTCGAGCTGCAGGAATTTAATATGTAAATAAGCAGCTTTAATTTCTATAGTTGATAGGGGCAACACAGCTGCTACCGACAATGACTTATTACCTCAATGCAGAGTGTTTGTGTGTGTGTGTGTGTGTGTGGAAAATCTAGGGCCTGTCAGTGTGACTCTATTTCAGTTGTGTGTGTGTTCAACTGATTTAACAATGTTCTGTGCAGTAAACAAGTGTTTATGCTCTGCTTCGTTAACAGGTACTACTCAGACATTAGTAAGATGCAAGCGATCAGTGACCAGGACATGAACGCCTACTTGGCAGAACAGTCACGGATGCACATGAATGAGTTCAACACCATGAGCTCTCTCAGTGAGATTTACTCCTACGTGGGCAAATACACTGAGGAGGTATGTGACAAAGTTTTACTTTATTTTACACTTAGTTAATGGCTAAACATTTATATTTGTACCATTTGCAAAATTAGAAAGAAACCCCCCATAAAACAGTGCACAGCATCATTAGACTATTTCAGTTTGGGCTTTTAAAACTGCTGGAATAAAATCAGTAACATAAAATGAAGTAACATATGTCTTATTCAGAATTAAGTAGTTGACATTATCCCCATTAGAAATACCCACCTCTGTGCTACAGCTGCGATGATGAATTCCAACATCCAGCCAGACTGAAAAAAAAAAAAAATCATATATCAAAGTATGATTCATTTTCTAAACAAGCGTTAGCTCACCAGTAACTTGATCGATGCTTTATTTCATGGTTTTCACAAATGTGATAGTGTATCAAGTGTTGTAGTGGGAAAACAAAAGGGATCCCTTAGCAACAGTCTTCACAGCATCATTCAAGCTTATGTGGAGCATTTGCTGTTGAAAGATAGATTTTCAGTATTGTTTTATTCCTCACTAAGTTAAAGGGGAATACAATCTGGACCCAATGTTTATATAGGTGGGTTTTTAAATTACCCACAAAAATGTTGAATTAAGTTGCAGCTGCTAAAATGTAAACTTATGGGCCAAAGTCCACAAAACGTAAAAGAAAAGTTCTGGTTCTTTTTTTAGAGTCTGGCAACATTACACAAGTGTCACTCAACAGAGCAGCAGCTCATCTCTCTCCTTGTTCAATTTGTCGGAGCTCCTCATCCATCTACTGCTGCTCAAACAAGTAGGGAAGGTCATCAAAGTAAAAGACTTTATCAAAGTAAAAGATTTTATCAAAGTAAAAGACTTTATCAACATTGTCCATTTCAGAAAAAGATTCAGCCATAATTTTTCTCAGAAAAATCCAAACATGTCTCCAACGTTTTCACCTCTATCGTCCTGCAACAACTCAGCAGTTCGATCTGGATGACGTCCATTTAAGCCTTTGACTTTTGACCATTCCTACTAGTTTGAGCTGGAGTTCATGGACAAAGAGCGAACGAGGAGAAATAGAGAGAGACGACAAGCAGAGGAGGGACAACAAGCTGCTGTAGAGTTGTTCGTGTATTTGTGAAGTCGTCAGACTCTTAACAAAGAAATTTGGTTATTTTATTGGTGAAAATTACTTTTAGAGGACATTTCATAGACTATCAGTGTTGCCTAATTAGAATACATTGCAACTCCCGGGCAGATTCCTAAAGTTTTTCTAAGAACCGTTTATTTTTCACATGGCCAAGGTTGATGAATTCCCCTTTAAATTAGCAACTACAAAAAAACCATTAGAGCATCTTCCTGCCTCAGATTTAACAGGATCAGAAAGTGTAATCGGAGGTTTTGTGATCCAGAGTACTTGCAGTAATGTCTTTGTGTGTTTACCTCACTGTGGTGTCTGCAGATCGTGTGTTCGCTGGAACAGGATGATGCAGCCAGGAAACAGAGGTTGGCCTTCAAGCTGGAGCAGGTGGTGGCCCTCATGAGTCTGGAAAGCTGAGGACCGCACTTCCCAGGGCGCACTGGGAAGAGACCCCATCAGAAACCGAGCCGTGCCTGAGCGAAGACCTGTCCCCATCTTTTTCATCATGTGACTTCCTCCCTCCGCCTTTCAAAGATGACTTCTTCCTCAACCTTTTTTCTGCTTCCCCCCCCCCCCCAGAGATATTTTGTTTTCCTCATCCACTCTGCTGCATAGACTAGTTTACCTGAAAACATCTGAAGGGTGGTCCAGGGCTGAGGGTGGCATCTCCCACAGTGCAATGCGGGGGACCCCTCAGCTTCACCACAGGGAGAGCGCCAAGGGGTGATTTCTTGAAAGCTGGCCATATTGGCATACTTCAGTCCCCCTGCTGGAAGAAAAAAAAGGGGAAAGACATTTTTATGTTGCCTTTAAGAATTTACACTGATAGGTAATTCTTTAAAAACAACACTGCTGGTTCATTTTGTTGAGAACTTTTTTCAGAATAGGATAGTTCCAATCAAACCATCTCTAGAGTAGTTCTATCTTCAACTTACAGAATCAAGAGGAAACATCAAAGATGATGACTGCAAGCCAAATGAACACCTCTGAAGAAAATTCATGCAAGGGTGGTTTGCCAAGTTTACACTGTACCTACAAACAAAGCATACATATCTGTGAAATTTGGGGCGAGTCCAGGCAAACCTAGAATGTTCTTGTGTTCCTTCAATGTAGCTGGAGTTGTATTTAAGAGTAAGACTGATGGGGGGTAGGGGAGAATTAGTGCTTCTCTGAACTTTTCCTTTATCGAAAACGTGACTGACACTAAAACTTTACAAACCAGAGCATCTCCAACCTGTACCCCTTTGTAACATTCACACATTTGTCCCTGCCAGCAAACATTTACTTGAAAGAAAATGCTCATGATTTCTGCTTCCATCTGGCTTATGTGGCTACCGCAAATTTAACCTATTAGACAAAACCCCTGGAGGCCCTGACCCAAGTTGGATCCTCTGTAAGAAGCACACAACCAACTCTGGAAGACGTGTTTTGACTGCTCGTCCAAACACCAGCAGCAGTCTATGGCTCGTGCCACTTCCACTTCTGTGTCGCCACCGCGACGGTCTATCAAAGCACACACACACACGCACAGATACACACACAATCAGCAGCTGCCCAGATATCTACGCCAACCACTGAGGAGGTAAAGAGAAGAGCTGACTGAAATGTGCTGGGCAAGAAACTGCTTAAACAAAAAGAAGAAGAGAGATACAGTGAAGTCCGAGACGGCTGACTGCTACCTAAAGGGGCTCCGCTGAGAGAGTAGCACTTCTTTCCCAGGATGTTCTTATTTAAAGACTTTTGTGTGGAGAACTCAAACAAGATGGATTTCACCAGTCAGCCAAAAACCAAAGGAGCTTGAAATTTTCAAAAGGGTCAATGTATTTGTAAAGTGCCACTGAGGAACTGACAAAGGACTATGTAGAAGACAACCACTTCTAGGACAAAAAAAAATATTGTGACTGGAACTTAAAGAAACCCGTGTGATTTTTCTGACCTCAGTGTGTCGAGGTGAGAGGCTCCGTGGGCGACGTGATCCGATCCTCCTTCTCTCTCCATCGTCCCGGGTCTCTGCGGCTCTCGGCACACCGTTCACCTCTGTGTCCGGCTCCTGAATTACCAGTTCCCTTTTCTGTTTTGCACAAGCGTTGGAGATGGTAGCTAGTTGCATACAGCAAAACCCCAACTCTTCAGTGTGTAACTGTTGAGGCGCTCTTGTCTGTATTAGTGTAGTTGTCCTCAGTGGCGGCAGGGGCGGCCTTCTCCAAGCCTGGAAGAGAAAAAGAAAAAAGAAAAAAAAATCAGATAATGCAGAGCAGGAACAAAACGTGAACATCACGGCAGGATAAACAGAAAACGATAGACATTAAAGTTGCTAAGACTTGTTGGATGTGAAACCCCGCGGTGGGAGAGAGCGATTGAAAGAGAGATGATGGAGGCGCCCTCCGTACCTTTTGACCTCTGCCCTTTCTTTTGCCTTGACAACGTGCCCCATGTGGTGATGTGAATGTGTGAAGACCGCCCTAGGTCCACCTTGGGTTCTTTATTGGCTTTTTAAGCGCATGTAAAACATAAACAATTTAAGAAACTTATAAAAAAAAAAAAAGAAAAATAAGAAAATTAAGCCTTGCAATGATGACGTGGATGTGTTCTTTTATCTTTCTTTTGCTTGGAAGAATCGAGACGGAAAAAGTGGATTGTTCATGTAATAAAAACTATAACTTTCGTTTAAGGTGGAACCTTTATCCAGTCCAGCCCCAACTGCAGAACCTCATGCTCATCGTTTCTGTGACGTGTTAGATGCTAAATGAAAATAATATATACCCTTGCATGTTGACCTATTTGGATGGTATGAAATGGAACTGCCTTGCTCAAAGATATTTATATACTTCTACTGCTACTAGGACTTACAAGTCATTTACAAGCCAACTGTTCAATGGATCTCATGAGACAACACAAACCCTTTTTGTAATTTTATCAGTACGACCTTCTACGTGTCCCCTTAACTTTAATGTCTTCCATTACAGTTTGGTGTTACTGCTGTCTCTCCTCTGTGGTGTTTGGTAGAAGACGCGAGCTGAGTCTTTTCTTTGATGCTATTCTATCTTGTTTTTACAGTGAACTCATCACGATAAACTGTGTAAAAAAATGTTCCTCCATCAGTTGAGCCAAGAATAGAAAAGACACATTTTGAGTTTTTAAATCCTGTTTTCAAATAACAAAAGACGGATACAGGGGTTTGATAAAGGTCCATTTCGCAAAAAGCAACAAAAGACTGCATCAGTTTGCCAACATCGTGAAATACAAACTTTACAATAACATTTAATTAGAAGACAAAACACCTAGAAGAATCTATGTATACATGTAATTAAAGACACAGATAAACTCTCTAAAAAGCCAGGATGATTGTAGACTTACGTTAAAAACTGAGTTTGGCAAGTGACTGTTTTTTTTTAGCCTTTTTGTCAAATGTTTGTGAGATATCCAACTCATTGTCGTTTAACTGCAGCTACACACTATAATGTCTGTTGTTTCAACTCGGAGGGGTACATTCACAAAGGGTTTGCTGGACATGTTGTGTCGTTTACATATCAAATATTTTGCTGTTATTGGAAAATGAAGGGAATAAGGACTGACTGGCATTAGAGACGACAATTTCAAAGAACCTCTTCTATTCATGTAGCCAATATATACTGTGTCTAGATACCCAAAGCTTCCCCCCACAGCCGTGTGTTAATAATAACGCATGGTGAGAGTCCTGGACTGTCGTTGTGAATCTGCCCCCCAGTGTAACACCCTGTCTTTCATTTTCTCCCGGCCCCGTCCCCTCCTCTGCAACAAAGGTCGTCTGCGAGTAGCCACCTTGTGTTGCTAAGAGCACAGATAAAGTTTCCACCTTCAAACGTTTTTGTAGGAACTAGAAATGTCCTCCTAGTTCAGTGTTAAAGCAGGTGTTACAGAAACATGCTAGAAAAGACTTTTACTAGACCATATTTGAAAGATAAAGAGTATCTTATCGAGAGAGAAAAACGAAACCTGGGGGATATAAGGCGAGCTTCTCTAACTTTGTTATAATTAATTGTATACCTGTGTATGTAAATATGATGCATTCCTATTTTGCAGTCAAGAACAAAATACTATTTGTAATATAGAATAAACTTTATTATGAAACCAATAACTGTGTGGTTGTTTTTTGTCAGTTTTCAGACGGTTGACGAATCTTCCACAGCTACATTTGAATGAAAAACTAGGAAGGGTGCTCAGAGAACACATACCTCCACCAAGGCAAACGCGCTATCTCGTTAGTTAAACTCAATTCCTGGATCTGCTCAACAAAGTTTCATGGAAATTGGTTCAGTAGATTTTGAGTAATCCTGCCAACACTCAAACACAGAGCAATGCAAACAGAACAACCTTTGCAGAGGACAAGATTTTCTGCCCAAACAGAAACCAACACACTGGTAGCACAGCTGAACTTTGGGCACACAGTCCTGAGATCAGTCTGAAAACATCTGTGGCTGAACCAGACATTACACTTCTAATCAAACGCTGTGGCCATATTTTCTGCCTTCTTCCTTTATGCCACCACCACACCAGTTCAATACTGTGATAAATAAAACTTAATTTAAACTCTGAATTCTTCTGCTATACTAATGTGAAAGCTTGTACAACAGACAACACTGTGTGTCACCACATGGCTCCAATTTTCTTTTCCACAGTGACAGATGCTACATCAGCCAGACTGGCTGCTCAGGGATGCTGAGGCCATCTCAGGTCTCCCACTATCTCCTTTCACAAGCGGCAGCAAAGAGTAGATACACTAGAAATACTGTCATTGTATAAAGGTGACAAAAACCTCAAGTGTCATGAACATTTATTAGTGTGGTGTCCAAACTGTCATAAACACATCATAGTATAATAAGGTGTCACAGTATATTAAAACTGTCATTTAAACGTCATAATATAGTCCGGTGTCCAAATGTCATAAAAATGTCATAGTAAGGCGTCTGAAACCTGACTAAACTGTCTCAGTATAGTTCTCTGTATACAGGATATACAGTAATAGTAAGCAGGATGAGACCACTCCCATAAAGAGAAAACCCTGTGATTTTTAGAAAGATGTACAAAGGCTTAAATCATTTTACACTAACTTTCCACACTATTCAAATCAGTTTTTTTCCCCTTAATTCCAAGCCTATGGCCTGATTTTCCACAGAACCATTGGGGACATTAAAGAAAGCAAGGTTTGAAATAAATCTGTGCACAGAGGAAACGCACACGTGTGCAGTGGTCAAATTTTGCTCAGAGAGTATTTCTCAAAATAAAATGTAAATTAGCATCTGACAATCATTCTGTTAGCCTGCTTTTCTCAGAACAGGGACAGAAGCTTGGCACACAGTGATCACATGCAATTCACTCAGAGCTGTCATCGTCCTACTGGTGGATTTTGGCTGATAAAAAGATTCCATACCCGACAAAGCCATCTCATATTGGGCTGGACAAAAACAAACACCCCTGCCAGCTGGGAGCAGAATTACAGAGCTGGGCCCACAAATCACTTGAGGACTGGGTCAGTGCGTCAGAAGCTGAGGATCAGATGTATGGTAGCAGTGCTCTTTGTCTCTGTGTGCATTATATTCCTCGACTATGATTTTTAAGTTCTTACAAAGTTTGATCTAACTCTAATACTCTTTTCTTACTGAGGCTGAATGAGGAAACAGGATTGAGCCGAACTTGGAATCATACTTTTTAAATTCTGGTGGGAATGGCAGATGTGTAACAACTCGTGTCAACATAATAATGTGAAAAATGTCTTATTCAGAATAAGGTCCGATTATTGGTGTCAATGTAAACAAATGGCTCTAAATCAGCCTATTATCAGTACGAGTGATTCAAATGCTACTTAGCTCCTGAAGAGAGTTCGGTTAAATAAACTCCACGGTGGTAAAGCTCCTCTCAAGTAACTCAGGGTTATTATAATGCAGGTAATGCAAATAAACACAACCTGAAGCCATTCAGTAATTACAGAGGGAGATTTTTTGGAGATTTTGGACTCTATACTATACTATGTCGTTTTTTGGAGA